TATGTATTACTGTGTCCATTTAAATTTGAAATTTTGTCGCAAATGCAGCATAAAACTAAATATAAATTATGTTAAAACATTTTTGAAATATTTCGAAAAGGACACTGAAAAATTTTCTTTGCTAATTAAATTTTTTTTTAAAGTTATTACTATAAATATATATTAATTAACAATATAATTCTTAGTATAATATTTAAAATAAATCTGTTCGCCATGCAAATTCGTATTCAAATAAATAATACCTTGTGTTTTTTAATTTTTACATTTAATATACATAATATAATTAGTTTGAATAATAGTAAACATTATACGTCACTTATTAGATATTAAATTAAAAATATTATAATAGTTTATGTTGTAATATATTTTTTATTTAATGTACTAAAATATACATTTAACGTAAATTTTAAATACGTATGAGAATACTAATATGCGTTATATTTGTGTTGTGATTACATTTTTTTAATTAATATTTATAATGAATATTTCTGACATTTTTGATTTTCAAATATCCGCTTTTAATATATTTTTTCTTTATTCTTGTTAAAACAGATATCTAATTAAATTTAAGGAAGTATGTATTTATATATTGTAATGAATACTTTTTTAAGTGTAATTATATTATGTAATTTTGTGTCTTTTTATTTATTTAATTTTTTTATTTTATGTATACAGTAGATTTTTATTTAATCGCGATTGTGTTTATCTTAATCATGCACGGTTTCATATTTACTTCCCCAATTGTTTTAAAAATATCTAACTTTTTGAAGCACATGTTCTTTATTAAAAAATAGTATTAGATATAGTATTAATATATAAAGCTGTACAACAAAGTTAATTAATGTAATTCTCTAATTAATTGTGAAATTTGTATCTACTTTTATTACGAAATTTATATTTTTACTTATAAGAATAAATTTAAATCTAAATTCTAATTTTCTAATTTTTCTTTAAGTGACCTCATTCACATATATCTGCTTCCTTCATAAGAATCGCACATAATTCAATTCTGAGTTATAGGGAATTGTATCATATGTTCCATGATCCAAAAACAGGACCGGTGATCGCGCTGGTAAGGCTTGGTAAGACCGAATAATTATGTCCTTTTCAGGACGTTGACTCATCTTCCAAGCGCTTCAATAGCACCTGACTCGTATCGTGTCTGTCTTCGTGCGTACCTATGAGACAGACTGTTTCGTGCGTTCTTCTGTACCCTTTTCTCTCCAACAAATCCTTTTTTGTTTCCAAACGAGACTCCTTCTAAATACTTTAAAAATTCCAGGATTTGGCGTAAAACAACGGATTAGTTTAGAAAGTTTCAAGTTTAATATTTATTATTACATTTAGTAATGATTATAAATAATCAGATAATATAAATTTAATATTTAATTAAACTTATTTTAATATTATAAAAAAGTAACGACAAAGTAATTCTTACAGCACATGACATCTCAATAAGGTTACAATAAATGACAAGAAACTTAATAATAATTAATGGCATTCGTTTCGCAAAAACCGTTTTAAGAATAAACGCGTAAAAATTTTTTCAATGTAATTGTTAAATATATAAAATAAACATAAACCTATTATTAACATGGTTAATGTAAATGTACTTGTACTAAAGATTTTATTTCAATATTGGAAAAAAGGCGTACCAACAAAACATGTAAACAAATTTAATTTTACTGAACATTGTTTAGCCTATTCAAATACGCAAAGCTTTTATTGCGTGAGTAATAAAATATCTGTATGAAATTAAAAATTATATAACGATATAAAAATTGTATATTATTGTACAATATTTGACTGTTTCTTATACTATTGATACGTATGATAGTTTTTAGGCCATATATTAATCCTCAGCTGAAGCACTATCTGTATTTTCCGATTCTGGAGCACCGGGTGTGCGACATCTTCAACGTTTTCAATCGCATATGTAATGCATAGAATTTGAACTTTTTTTTTTTAATCGATACGTCAAATTGTCCAAAAGAAAAATAAATGAGTGCGAAAATCGAGAAATTGAAAATATTCGAAGTATTCGAGATATTTAGAAGTAAAAAAAAAGAAAATCTTTTAATTTTGGTTTTTTTTAAATTCATAATTTTAAGGGAAAAACCGTTAAAGAGATTTCTCTAGCGGGTTTTTAAAGGTAATTGAATGCACTTTAAGAAAAAATACTATTATTTCGATTATTTTTAAAAAGTATATTTTGCTCTGGGTGTAGTAGCCGCAATTTGTCACCCATAGGCTGACAAATTGCGGCTTTTGATTTCCCGTTAACTTTTGGAGACTGCTGTAGTGGGGAATTAGTAATGGGGATGAAACTTTCTTTAGCCCCTACTCGATTACTCCCTATCCTTACGACTTGTGAATGCTTATATTGCGCTATTATATAAAGCCTGGGTGTACTACACCCAGAGCTTCAGTTGAGTGTTAAATATTCATACAAAGATAATATATACTTTTGTAATTCACAAATTTTGATATTATTTGCACAATGCACATTTACATACAATTTATATTCAGCAAAATAGAAGGCAGTTTTGATGCTGATCAAGTAATAACTTTCATTCGTGTATGTACAATATACATATATGTATGTGCATATATAAAAGGAATCATTTATATTTACGTTTGTCGTACGATTTTCGCGGAAGACAACTCAGAAAGAAGAAAATAGACGCATCGCGAATTAATAAGTAATGATTAAAATGGATAGCCAATTGCAATATTATAATAATAAAATAGAGAGCATTTCGAGATCGAACTCTGTAGTGAACACAAGTTCGATTTCTATTGTAAGTTATATTTCCGTGAATGTAAGCTCAATTGTAATTACTAATTAGTATATTTAAATACATTGCATACATTTGGTTATATATGTATGTATAAAACTCATACAGCACAGATCATTGAGCTGTATTGCAATATAAGCTACAATGATCTGTGTTATACGGGGAATAAAAATTATTTATAAAACTATATAAAATATGGGATAATCATGTCTATTGCAGTTGCAATTATATCTTATTGTTAGTTCACGATTGAGATTCCATTCTTATGTATGTGCATATGGTGCTCGCCTTCATTTGCAGAAATATTCCGTAGTTAAAAGTCTTTTGAGGTATTTGATATGTTACAAAAAATCTTTGTTAACGATATCAACAAGTTGCTTTGGTCTTCTTTAAAAAAAAAATCGATACAGACTCAGGGAATTTTTAATACTCGGAATCCTAAAACATTAAAAGACACAAGTCAACGTATTGCATACTAAATTGAACTATTCATGTATTAATACTAACAAAAATGATTTTTATTAGAATTTTCTCTTCGCAATTTAATTCTAACTTCTTAATCAAACCGCAATTAACATTAATGTGCTGATATTAATATTAAAAATAAAACTACAATATTTCTTTTTATCCCTTTCTTTTTTGCATCTCTTTTGTTAAATAAATGATTATTATATTTTCACGATACTTACTATCAGAAGACACGCTCCCAATAGCATGGCTTTTATTTTTACGTCCAGATCGGGTGAAAAGTACATATCGTACGTATAACTTGCGCTGAAAGTCCCTTGAAAAGTGACTGCACACAAACGCTTTTCAATCATGACGACATGATGCTTGTCATTCACGGATTTGACCTGCGGATTTGATTGTTGGTGAATAATTATAAGAATCCTAATACTTATTGTGCAACAAAATCATAGTCACTAGCCAAATAACTGCCGGGTTTGTATTATTATATTATCATTCATTCTTAAGCTTCATGTTCTAGTTTCAAGAATTCTTTGAAGGCTTTGAAATTAGTTTGAAGAAAAATTAATTAAAAAATATTAATATAATATGTAATCATAGAAAAAATAATAAAATATAAGTGGCATAAAATTTATTGTTAGTAAGATTTAGAATGTAGCAATACCTTAAAAATGTTGTCAGTACAGAATTTACGTTTTTTTATCATTAACACTGACCGACCGGAAGCGTCGCAAATGTAAAGCCTCAGTTGCCAAAACCGCGAATTTTGAACCAAGCTGCCTAATAAAGTATTTCCGGAATATACTTCTAAAACCTACAAAAAAAATTTCAGTTGTCTGCTAATCGTAATTAAATTAAATAATAATATTATTAATATAAAGTTAAATGTAATTAACCTTTAAAAATAAAATTTATCTAAGATTTATTTGAAGTTTTTGTATGTAAATAAGGATTTATACTAATCTCATTTGACCGGGATCTAAATAAAATTAATCAAAGATATAAAACGAATTTGAATACAATTATTTGTTTATTTTTATTGTATCTTTTTACACAATAAATAAACGAATAAGTAAATTTTTTCCAGATATGAACGCTAAATAGGAAATTAACATTTCGTTTCTGTTCAAAGGATGTTGATTAGATCTTTTGACAATGCTTGTTGAAAGATAAACTTGATCTTTGGACACACTTGTTGAAAGATAAACTTGATAGATGTGGTCTGCACGTGTGAAGAAACTTTGGTAGTTTATACAAAACAGTAGTTCTCATTTCATTTTAGACTTATTGTTATTTTCAATAGCATCTTTCTTATTCTTGTAATTTAATTAATATAAAATTATAATTTAAAATAAATTTAAAAAGAGATTTATATATATTAAGTTTAATTGCTAGAAGATTTTAAAATTTATAGTTATAAATAATAATAATGATTAATTACAGTAAAAAAAGGAAGAATTTATTTTAATTAAATTTTAATTATTAAATTATTATTTTTAAAATTTTTCTTCAGAATTTAGAAAGTTGGTAATAAATTTAAATATTAAACTCTGCAGGAGTAAATATGTTTACGCCCGCTAATTAAATTTATAATTTTAATTTATTTTTAATTTGAATTCTAAAATTTACTAAATACATTGACATATTTGAAAATTAAATGTTATGAACAAATTAATAAACTTATTAATTTTTATATTTAAAGAGGAAATTTTAGATAAAATTCTTGAAAAAATGCAACGATAGAAAATATTATTTTCTAGTATATGTTTTCAAGATATCCTATACAAAAATAACCGTGCAAACATACCGAAGAAACTCTAATAACAAAACTACCTGATTCCAATCATCGGTTCTTTGAATCATACGAAGAACCTCATGCTGATTTTTGTCGTAGATGTTGAAACCCACCAAACAAGTTCGCTCACAGCAGCAACAAGCTCCAACCTCTTCTTTGGTTACATAAAACACCGGCTCGCCCTTGTTATCCGTAATAATATATCTGTTCTGAGTTTCCCATCCGGGAAAAGCTAAATAAAAAAAACTTTAAATGTATATGCAATAATATGCTTAGTAAAATGATACGTAACGTAACGCAGTTCAAATAATGTAGCAAGTATATGTAAAATAAAATATATAAAATTGCGAAATTATTACGTCGCAATGTAATTCTGTGAATTTGTCATATAATATATAAAATAGAATACGATTATGTAATTATAGTAATTCCATATTAACTATAATAATTTTATAATTACATGGTTACGTTATAAAATTATGCGTATATCATAATGCAAATGTACGAGGAGACTTTGCGTTAAGCAAACGTGGCTTTGTTTACCCGAGGAGTGATCGCAAATTACTCGAGCTTCGTGGATCTGGAATACATATTATATTCACGTGCGCTTTTCCTTTCTCACGAAAGGAGAAGCGTTATATTCATATCTCTCTTGGCAAAGTACTCACCTGAAAACATCGCAACG